GTTGCATTCGTAGTTTCATCTAAATATTATGAAATAGAATAAAGATAACATTAATTCGATATTAATTAAAAAATTTTAAACTGAATTTCTTGTAGAAATGTAAAAAATTTTATTTTTCTAAATTAGTTACATTATATTTTTTAGATCAAGAATTTAGATAATTATTAAGAGGAAATTAATATTAATATTTGGAACATAACAACATGAGTTGTCAGAATTTTCTTTACAGAAATAGGTTTTACCTTGAATATTTTACTATTGACATTATTAAACGGTAGAATGTGTGATATGTACTCAGCAGCTTTGAACACAGGATACCATGGTATATAGTCCGTTTCCCACTTTAGATAGCTTACGACATCCCAAAATACATAAAAATTTAATTTGCCCGATATCGCTAAATGGAATGTATCATCGATGATTTGAGCACGATTTAAAACATTAATATTTGTATAATTCTTGGAATTAATATAATTTATAATTCTTAACCAACTTTCCAAATCATAATATAGCCGGTAATATCCTGTCATGCGGAATAAATAATTACGATTTGTCATTAATTATATTAAATTATAATGTAGTTGATATTAATATTAACAGATAGAATATTATTAAATGTTATTTTCATTTTTAAATGTGACCAAAAATACAAATTAAAATATTAATTAATAATTTAGCTTGTATTATAAATAATAAAAAAATTCATATTTATAAACTAATGTAATATTGAATTTTATGTTACGGATCATTAAGTTGACCACTTCTTTACAACAATATAATAAATTATATATAATAAACAATATAATAAATATAAAACTTTGTTTATAAATATTGCATATCAGAAGAAAATAATATCAAAGTATTTCATCAAATATATAAATATGATTATTAAATTAATGTAATTTGTTTAAGAAAAGAATAATTGTAGATGGATTAAAATCACTAAAAGGAGCACAGACAATTCTAAATTATTTTAGCTATACAATCTTAAAGTCATATAAATATATATATATATCCTATTTAAAAACTTTGTTACAAAGATAAGTCAATAATTTTTTCTTTTTTATAGTTAACAAGTTTTCAGAACAAATAAATTAATGATATTTTACATTTAAATATTTGATCGTCATTTACCTGTTTGTCGCCGATTGATTATTATAAACCGACTGTGTTCAGAATTGTAACACGTTGTAAGAAAGTACTTTTGTTCCCTGGATAGACAAAATGTGGGTAAAATTCGTTTTAAATTTATGTACACTTGATGTGTTAACGGTACTGTCCAGTTTTCGGAAGCAGTTTCTAGAACAATTTTTGTCCATTCATAACGAAAAGTTTCCGTTACATTAAGAATAGGATATTGCTTTTCTTGTATCCAAGGATTCATCAGATCTTTCACATTAATTTTCTCCAAATCCATAGTTTGTGAATCATACACAGATTGCATTACAGTCCAGAAATCGTCCAGACTTCCCGTCCTTACAAAAATGTATAAAATTTAGTTCTATTCACGATGTATATTCTATGATAGAGACAATATCAGCAAATATAATTTTCTCTTATATAGCATAAAGACAAATTTACACAATTTTTATAATTGTCGAAAAAAATACATAATTTACATCATTCACTCAGTTCAGTTATCAATATGTGAGACAGACGCCCGTGATTTTATTTGCGCAAATATTTGCAATATTAAGTTGTAAAGTCTCAACATCGACTGCACCGATTGAATTTTAATTGAGATCATTGAATAACAGATAAAGTTTATAAAAATATTTATCAATTTTTTCCATTATCATCTACAAACGAAAGTACATATATAGATATTCAAAATATAATTACATTAAATTTTAATGCTGATTAGTCATTAATTCCGAATAGCAAATTTTTGGATACAAATTTTCATTTTATTTTAACACATGTCATTTAAATTTTTTCTTATTTCGAGAAGTAAGACAGTATTTGAGAAAATTATTTTATATGTAGTAACATTATACGGCACAAAAATAGCAAAGAATATAATAAATTATTATTTACATATAAAATTACATCATGTATCAAAGAAATAAAAATGAAAAATTACTTATTTGACATAAAGAAAAAGAGAGAAGAGGTACAAGACATGAAAATACTTACTTTCTTTTCATATACATATTAATCCCTTTCTGAAAAATTTCATCACCCACTGTATGGTGTAGCATACGCAATATAGAAGGTGCTACAACAGATGAGCATTATAAGATCAAACGTGCAAGAAATTATACGTACAATAAATTTGTCGAAATTCTTAGAGACAATTGATAAGACTACAATTAATTAAAAATTTCGATGTTAATAGAATATATTTGTCTTAGAATATGTTATCATTACTTATTTCAGTGAATAAGAAAATATGTAAATTAAAATATGCAAAGTAAAAATATATTTTTGATATAGTTTTTAAATAATTTTACATGTTTTAATTGTTTCAACTTTATTTATTCAGTACTCTATACCTTTTATGTAATAGGTGAAAGAGAAGAGAGAATTAATTTCAGAAATACTGTCAATTTTTGAATCAAGAGGATTCATAACTTGTGAATCATCTAGACGAAGAGATTCTTGTTGAGTCTGGACTACGAATAAATCCAACATCCGACTCTCAGGCATAATCTAGACATTACAAGTATAGTCAAATAAAGAATAATTTAATTATTAGTTTATCACCATTAGTCTAATAATCATTAACAATATAATTCAATTAATAAAAATTTTTTAACTGATTTTACATGAATGCGACAAAATTCTTTACGTTCAACTTAAATATCATTGAAAATATTGGAAGAATATTCTTTCTCTCCTCGTGTGTTTTCAAATAAAACTTATATTCAGTTTTCTTTGAAAGTATTATCACACACATGAAAAAATACCTGATTGATTGTATACACGCCGAACAACGTAGCAATACCCTCGTTCAGCCACATGCAAGACCACCATGATGGACTAATCGCGATACCAAACAATTGACCAACCACTTTACGTCCTATTATACGTGATAACTCTATTTTGCGTGCAATGGGATCTATTTTTTCATTGTAAATAATATCTTCTTCTCTAAACACAACATACAAATGATTCGTTGTATACAAATATTCCATTTACACAATATATGCTATTTTTTAATACTGGTAGCATTACATACTATATAATATTTACTACGTTTCTTTATTCTACAATTTTTATTATACAATGCTTACAATGTTTTATTATAAAAGTATAAAAATTAATTTTTTTTTAAACATATTCTACCTGTAAAGTACGAACGCCAATTTATCCACGCCGTCATCTGTCAAACCTGCGATCGCAAATTGATTTCTTAATAAATTTCCTTCCAGTTGCCATGTATGTTCAACAGTACTTGTGACATCTTCAATTAATCTCAAAATTTGATCCCATTGTACTTCCATCAACTCTCTTCTCCATAATTTGAGGTTTTGTATGGGAGAAATATCAGTATAATCATGCTTATCAAATATCACAATTCCTATTCGGTACGTGGGTATTTCAGAAGTTATGATATAGTGTGTCGTCAAAGGCGATTTTGACATAGATGTAAAAGGAAAGAATTTGAAAAAACATTATAAATATTCAGGAACATTTACAACAATGA